TGGCAATTGTCTCCTGATCTGTTGGTTTCAACACACTTAAAAAATAATGAAACCCACATTTTGAAACAGCTGGATAAAGTGTCACCTCATCATCCAGCAGGCCAGCCTGACTTGTTGACATGGTAGCAGGGTCCCAAGAGCAAAAAGAGAACAAGTCTAATGCACACACGCTTTTCAGGTCTCTACTCGGATCACATCTGCTGCAGTCTGATTGAGCAGGGCAAGGCACATGGCCACGCTGCGAGGGAGTCAGCATGGGAGGACTGGATCCAGGGAGGGCTATGCATGCAGGGAGCTGTGAGCAGACTGGGGCCGTAACTGCAATCAGTCCACCCCACAGGTTTTCCAGGACACTATATATCAACTTCTCATTTCCTTTGACTTGAATAATATTTAGAATTTGGCCACTGGAAAAAGCAAGTAATATTTGTCTTTTCACCACTCTTGACAGATATGTTACCATCACAATGCTAAGAACTGCTATTCAAAAGACTAAGCTTTATAAGCTAATAACAAAATTCTCTTTTACTTTGAGAAGTCACTGCTTGTGACTAGAGGACTTGGACAGTACAAAGCCTTATGGGGTTGTAATCATAGTCATTGTGGTCAAGCTACAGAGGGTATGGCAACCTAATAATAATATTTGCAGAAAACTTTAAATAATATTATGCCCCTAAAATTCTTATTATTCTAGATAATGAACATTGTCAGAAACTCTTTAGGCTGAGGTTTACAGAATCTTTTTCCCACAACAGGCTAGTTATTTTCAATTTTCCTTTCAAATTCAGACCCTTTATCCTTCTTCGGTAACTTTCAAGATGAAATTCCAAAAATTCCTTATTTCAGAATTCCTCCTTGCTACTACATTACTCACCATTACTGTCACCCATACCAACCTGCTTATGTTGTAGAGCATTATGTGAGATCCAAGTAGCCAAGGGAAAAATATATATATTGGAACAAAATGCCAGGCTTATTTTCTTCTTAGTATTAGCTTATCTCCAAGAAGAAAACAAAACAAAGAAAAAGCTCTAATGCTTTTAGTCCACTTTTCCCAAACTCCAGACATAGTCCTGAACAGGAGAAGCATGTCTCTCTCAACAAAGAGCCTGCTTGCTTGTCCTATGGATAGACCAACCCTAGATTTAAAAAAAAAGTTTATCTGTAATAGCAATATATTTGCAAGGCCAATGGATGTCAGAATCTGATAGATGTTAATTTGAATCTCAACTTAATCACTTACTAGGTGGAGAAGTGCCAGCATCTTAAGTTGGCTAAGTGTTAATTTTGGCTTCTTAGCGATGCACATACTCAGCGATAAACTCTAGTCTTTAGAGAAAATTCAAAGCTGCCTTATCCCACTATCCATTCACTATTCTACCCCTAGAATGGTCTCTGTTGTGAGGGGGAGACAAAATACAGTTATCAAGACGGTGTGGCTACTTTAGAAGAGGATGAGATTTTATTGTGGTGTTTTGTTTTTGTGAGAAGACAGTGAGTGTAATAGTAGTAGATGGGTGCGAATTGTTGCTTTTGTAGATCATGTTTCCTGGATCTCTCTTCCTGTCACTCTTCTTTCTTCAATCTCAAGATGCTGGTGTGATAGCTGGACAGGTAACCATCTTCTCTTTGGAAAAATCAAGCAGGAACTAGGGTGAAGTCTGGAGACACATACAGCTAGGAATACACCTGCTTTTACCAGTTCCCAGACAGAGGGCAGTATAGAGACCAGGGGCCAGTCTCCACTATAAAAAACAGATGTGTCTGTAGCAACTTCTAAGCCAATGTCTAATGAGACTTATAATGGTTGTCAATTTCATAAAAACATGGTAATTAAATATTTTGGCCATTTCTTACTATCACAAAATCATAATTACTGTTAATCACTTCATAGGATTGTTATTGGATCAAAGGAGATGATATAAATATAATTTCTTTTTTTTCCCATTTATTTTATTGCATTTTAGGTTTGGGGGTACATGTGAAGAACATGCAATATTGTTGCATAGGTACACACGTGGCAGTGTGATTTGCTGCCTTCCTCCCCATCACCTACATCTGGCATTTCTCCCCTTGCTCTCTCTCCCCAACTCCCCACTCTCCGCTGTCCCTCCTCTATTTCAAACACCACATGTTATAA